CCCCATCTCCACCGCGCACCACCATCACCATCACCGCAAGCTCCTGCAATCATCACCGTTGTAGCTCCATCACTGTCGGGACCCGAGGAGTTCCGTCGGAGTACCCATCGTAGCCGTTGAGCCCCGCCGAGTTCCGTCGGAGCGTCAAACGTAGCCGGCGAGCCCTTCACGCGCAGCACCACGTGAGCCCCAGCCCTCAGCCACCGTGAATAGCCACCTTCACCACCGTCCTCTTCCACGACGTGCAACGCAGCCATTCACTGCAGCTCTTCCACGAATGAGCAGCCCCTCCACGTACACGGCCAAGTTCATTCGAGCCCCTTTCGAACCCTACCGTTGTTCTTTTATCCGAGCGGTAAACCCTAACGTCTTGACCACTTATGGACTGTTAATTTGAATTCGGATAATATCGTAAGAATTATTAATGTGTTAAGACTTGATAATCAAATCTCGTATGCTTGCTTAAGGTCCGAGTAAATAATTGTCGAGTTATTATTGAGTTGGAATTGGTCGGAGCCTTGTCGGGCTTCCGAAAGGATTGTTTTAATGATATGTGAATTGGGTTTATTGTTGTTAATTTATGTGTTCATAATCGTGTCTTATTGTGTGATAAACGTGCCTAGAATCATCGATTATATGTTGCTTTCGACATGTTAAGAAGTTCGAAAATTTGGTATGATTTCATGTGCAATTGTTGTGTACGTGCTGTCTGTTCGGGAGCAGTTTAGGCCTCTGATAATGTGTTTTCGGTTTTCGAGTTCTCCATATGATATGTATTTCGTTCAGTTGTGTTTACGTGAGTTTTGGAATCGTGCAATTTCGACCTAAAACGAATAAGTTATGATTTTTACAAAATTGACTGCGCGAGCAGTTTTTCTTTAATTCGACTGCAGTTAGGTTTAAATGTTTTGTGTGTTTATGATGTGATAATGTGCTCAAATGAACGTGAAGTCTTCATTGAAATTGTACTTCTATGTGTTATCTTTCGTGTGGTTCTGGAATCAAGCAAAAATATGGTCCGAGTAGTGAATGATACCCGTTTTCGTAAAACCGCGCATGAGTTTATTTTAAAGTTCTGGACAGTATTTTAGTTTTGAACGTTTGCTGGTTTTGGACCATGAATATGACCTTATTTGCTTTTGAGTGCTAAATGAAAGTTGTATTACCATGTCTTAGGAGCAATATGAGACTTGAATCATGTTAATGCGATTTGTATGTTGAAAGATATGCTCGTTTTAAAAATGCAGCACGTGTTAAGTTTTGTCAAAAGATTAAATGTAATTGCTTAAGTGAGTCTTATGTTTATTAAGCATGCTTATGTGACATGTATGAGCTGTAAAGCATTGTGTGAGATCATGATGAACCTTAGGCGATTAGAATAGTATCCGTAAGCAAGCAAGCTAAGAGTTCGATTGTCCAAATGTTTTATTGTAAGAATGTTTTCAAAAGAATGCAAGCAAGGCGAAGCCAAGCGAGCAAAGTTTTTCTAAAGCTTATG